AGGCATCATGGTTTGTTGATAGCCGGTCCGAAAAATGAAACAGGAGGATAAAGTGTCTTGTGAGTCTGGATTGCAAGCACAGCGTCAGCGTCGGAGTTGGAGAAGAAACATCAGCGTCTCTATGACGATGGGAAATGATGTAGCGCTGGCGAGTGTGTCAAACGCAAAGCGTCGAAGAAGTAGTTGGAGCTAACGTTGACGTTGGCGTTCATGTCCACTTTGAGATCAGCGTTAATGTCAGCGTCGATTTCAAGGATCGCGTCTTCTTTGATATTAGCGCTGGCGATTGTTTCGAACTCGAAGCGTCGACGAAACGGCTTGCTCTAGCGTCGACGTTGACGTTCATGTCCACTTTCACATCCGCGAAAATTTCACTGTCGGCATTCACATTAGCGTCATTTTTCAGCAATGCGTCATCTTTGCGATTATCGTGTGCGATTTTGTCGAACCCGAAGCCTTGACGAAGGGGTCGGATCTATCTTTGACGTTGGCGTTTATGTACACTTTCAGATCCGCGTGAATATCCGTTTTGTCTTTTCTGTTGTCATTTTGTAAATGCATTAATTATTACATATTTCTATTTTTCGAATTAAGTATTGTTCTCGTGACTACCAGTACATCAGCCATATGAGATGTATTCAACCAATTTCGTTCAAGGTGATGAAAGACTGTAGAAATTTGGTGAATACATTTCATACTACTGATTTACTGGTAGTCACGAAAACAATACTTAATTCGAAAAATAAAGTATAGTAGTCGATTTTTATAGCAGATATACGTTTGCTTCATCGACAATTGTACCAAAAAGTATATGATATGGCAAAAAGGCCTGAACTTCCTTGAAAATTCACATTTGCTCTGTGACCCAAAAGGCACTCGTGGCAGTGTTGCCGAGGGGTTGACGTGTCAAGCTCCCACCCTGCACTGTCGCGGTTCGACTCCCGCTGAGAGTGTTGATAAGACCAATGCGAGGTCGAAACTGCAGTCCATTCCAGCAGAGATGAGAACAACTTTTGGGAAAACAAGGCATGTGAAATTGAATGGAAACGTCATCTCAACTCATATCATTGTGGGAAAATTCTTCTTCTACCAGTCCTTCATCACCTTAAAACCAAATTGGGTGAATACATCTCATATTGCATATTTCTAAATTCGTCTTTTTTATCCTGTCATCCTTTTTACTTTCTACTATTCCATTCCCTCTTCTCCTTTATTATTATGAACAGTCGCCAGAGAACAGTTTTTTATGTCTTTCCCTTGACCCATCTTTCATAACTCTGGTTTTCACCCAATCAGCTAGCAATATGGACATTTCTGGCAAAGAGAAGAGCAAAAGGCAATAGTGTACTAGACTCTCCAACAAAGCAAACCCCTGGACCTTCTCTACTCACATGAGAAGGGGGATCGGAGCGACACTGCGAGCCAAGTGACCTTTCTTCAAGCGCAGCGAAATGATGTGGAGTATCATCACTTTTGGGCCACTTATAGAAATGACTAAATTCGTTAAAGGCCCCACATTTCAACTGGATCTCACATGGCCTTGCTCCCCAAAAGGTACTCTCCTCCACGAGCGCCCGTTTGTCATAAAACATACAATACTTTTATTGCATGTCACATTGGATATGATGGGAATGTGGCTGAAGTAAACATGTATTTGCTATTGCAATCGACAAAGTTACATGTTTCATTTTTGCCAAGATTGCCAGACTATCAATAGATCTTGAATGAGCGCTCTAGTCATACTGGCTCGAGTTAAGTGAAAAAGGGCTGCTAGTGACTTTTTCGCACACACTAAATCAAAGTTAACTCAACAAAACAAATGAATTTTGTCCACGTATAGAAATTCAGCCAAGAAATTTTCATCATTTTCTGTGTGTAAGTGTGCGTGTGTGTGTGTACGTTTACACGGAACTATTAGTGGGGCTCTCGAGGACTACTTATAGTCTCAAAAGCCTACTCAAAGCGAATAGAAACTTCTTCAGTCAGACAAGATGATCGGTAAACCATATAGAAGAGGTGGTCTGCATCAAGTCTACTCGCTTCTTGTGTCTAAACTTACGATTTTCACGAGGCATCTACTGCCCTGGTAAAGACTCAAGTCATTCTAAATTGCCAGGGGTAGTTTAAGAACTCAATTAAAATTCAATTATCAATCATTAATTCATCTCAAATGACTGAGGATGACTCAATTTCTTATTTAAGGATTATTGACAACCTCGAAAACTAGACTAATCAAAAATCCCATGAATAGATTGGCTTAAAAACGAATTTTATCCAGCAATTTTAGCACTGATTTATGTGTATGCAATATTTATGGGGTCAAAGGGCGAATCAAATTCCAAGTAAATCAAGTCTGGCAGTGGGGGTGTCGGCCACAGTGCGACAGACGACAACCCGACACGGGGAGATTAGGGTCCCCGAATGGTGCACCGGTGTTTTTGTCGGACAACTCAACGCTCCAAATGGAATCCCTCCCAGTTGTCTTTTCACACCGAATAGAATATTCTGCAATATAACTTAAAATCCACTCAGTTAGAACAATAAGTTCATTCATCTCAGCACCAAATACATTTGACCCAGTCTTTAAGTGAACTGGTGTCAGGCCCATCCTCTCAAATCTCCTCCGCTCGCATGTGATGCATCGCATTGCCGGTCATTGTGGAAACGGTCGTCACTATTTCCATATTCCATTCATACGTCAGCCTCCCTCCTCTGCCAGCATTCGAGGATGAAACGTTGAGTGTCCAACCAAATCATGAGACCGACAAAATTGGCTACAAAAATGGACTATGACTGCAGCTAGGCACCTCTTGTTTGCTCTGTGCATTGGTACATTTTGTCCTAAATGATGTTTGCAGGGATTCCCAAGGGTCGAAGGAGAAGATAGGCCGAAGACGTCTCCGCACAATTCGATGGTCTTCACTCCAAGAAGACCCTCCTTGCGTTTCTGGTGAGGCCAATTCGTGAATCTCTTCCAACCACCTTTTCCTTCGAGAGGAAGCGTCAGGTCAACGGAAGGTGCGTGGGAAGATTGGAGGTCAGTCAAGCAACCGTATTTGGAGCAAGTTGGGCATTCGACCGGTTGGGAGAAAAGCCCATCTGGAATGGTAAAGGGCGGGAGTTTTCACGATAGCTACAACTTTAGGGCAACTTTATTTCGCGCAAAAGAGGCTGCTGAAGAGATTCCCAAAAACGATGGCGAACTCCTTTTGTTCAGATGTACATAAATTTGACCTGAAACGCCCTTCATTGCACACTTTTACACTAAATCAAAGTTAACTCAACAAGAGAAATGAATTTTGTCTACGTATAGAAATTCGGCCAAGAAATTTTCATTATTTTCTGTGTGTAAGTGTGCGTGTGCGTGTGTGTGTGTGCGTTTACACGAAACTATTAGTGAGGCTCTCGAGGACTTGACATTTGTGCCGGGCTAGCAAAGTCATTTCTTTTGATACAGAAAAGCGCAGCCTTGAAATTGCCTAACAGCAAAGTTGCATTTTGGTGTGTTGGTAAGCCACTTGCATGAAATTCATTTTAATTAAAGCTTACTTTCTCGACTCTTGGGTTGTCGAAAACTCAAAACCCTTTTCCCGGAACCGAGGAGACACGGTGCCACACAAAATGACAGCATTTTTGGGACGAATTTTAGTTAGTTTAAAAGTGTGCCCAGAAAAGGGATTCGCGTAGAACCATCTCACCAGAAGAAGATAGCCAATTCGCGTGGCTCTTCAATCGTTCAGGTTACCATGAAGTTCAGATTTATTGCAGTTCATGAGAAGTCCTCCCTCAGTTTCAGACAAAACAGGCTCAGATTCTCGGTACTTTCATGTCAGACGTCTCCAGAGATGGCTTGCGTTCTTAAAAGGCTTCAGTCCGCACCAAATAAAGGAAAGTAACCGGCTCCCTTTTACATCTTAAATATACCACATCCACAAATGCTTAGTTGCTTTGTATGAGTGTGTGTGTGTGTGTGTGTGTGTGTGTGTGTGTGTGTGTGT